GATGCGCATGTCAAGTGTTATGGTGTTAGTTTGGCTCTGATGGTGATGGTGGTGATGACGATGGCGGCGGTGAGGGTGCTGATTCCAGTGGCACGGGTAGGTATGGTGACGATGACGACGATGACGACAGTGATGGTGATGACGATGACGACGGCGATGAGAACAACCGTGATGATTATGTTGGTTTTGATGATGGTAATGCTGCTGAGGATGATGGTGATGCTGCTGCTGCTGATGATGGTGATGATGATGATGATGGCAATGACGGCGATGATGCGGCTGTTGTTGCTGATGATGTTGATGGTGATGACAGGGGTGGTGGTGGCTGCGATGCTGAAAACTGTGGTGACTGTGTTGGTAATGACGGTAGTGATGACGATTGCGATGATTCTAACGATGGATGGTATTATGATGACGATGCTGATGATGATGATGATGCTGATGAGGATGGCGACGGCGACGACGATGATGATGATGGTGACGGTGGTGATGATGGGGGATGAGGATGGTGATGTTGCTGATGTTGATGAGGAGGATGCTGCTGCTGCGGATGACGGCGATGGTGCTGCTGATCGTGATGATGGTGCGGATGATGGTGTTGATGACGGTGGCGATGCTGATGGCATGATGTTGATGATGATGCTGGTGGTGGTGGTAATGAGAATGGTGTTGCTGATGATGATGATGATGATGATGATGATGATGATGATGATGATGGTGATGGTGATGGTGATGGTGATGATGATGATGATGATGATGATGATGAGCATGACGACGATGGAGGGTGTAGCGGGGAGGGCGGATGGATGTAGGACGTACGCTCTGAAGGCGCGAGAGGTGATGGTTAGCCTAGGAGCGAGGGTTCTCTTAGTAAGGACTCCCGGTAGTATGTCCGTAATATGTAGGGCTTCTTTCTCAATATCCTCTTAGTAAGGACTCTGGAGTAATAGTCCTGCAGTAGGGTTTCTTCATTAAGGTTCTCTGCGTAATAACGTTTGCGTGCTACTCCCATTTGAGGGATTGTTCATGTGGATTCTCTGAGTAAAGACTCTTGAGCCATATTCCCGTTGTATACCTTCTGCATTAAGGTTTTCTTAGTGTGGACTTTGGGGTAAGAGTCCCCTATTAAGGATTCTTCATCAAGGTTCTCTTCGTAAGGACTCTTGGACAATATTATGAAATAGGATTCTCTGATTAGGGACTCTTGAGCCATATTCCCGTAGTGAGATTTGTTTGTAAGGACTCTTGACTAAGGGCTCTTGACTAGGACTCTTAAGTAATAGTTTCGTAGTTAGGCTTCTTTACGAAGGTTCTCTTATCAAGGACTGTTAAGTAAGAATCCCGTAGTAAGGCTTCTTCATTCAGGTTCTCTTAGTCGGAACTTCTGAGTAAGACTCCCATCGTATGAATTCTTAATTACGGTGCTCTTGGTAAGGACTCTGGAGTAATAGTCCCGCAGTAAGGTTTCTTCACTTCTGTTCTCTCGGCAAGGAGCCTTGAGTAAGAGTCCCGTAGCAAGAACTCTTCATTTCGATGTTCTTAGTAAGGACTCTTGGGTACGAACCCCGTAGTAAGGATTATGCACTAAGGTTCTCTCAGTTAGGACTCTTGAGTCATACTCCCGTAGTAAAGCTTCTTAGCTCAGGTACTTTTAGTAAGGACTCTTGAGTAATAGTTCCGTAGTAGGGTTTCTTGAGTGAGGCGTTGCCAGGAAAGATTCTTAAGTAATAGTCACGTAGTAAAGAATTTTCATTCAGTTAGTCTTCGTAACACCTCGTGAATCAGATTCCCATACGTCGATTTCCTTTTGTTAAGCTTCCCCTCAGTGAGGACTCTTGAGTAATACTCCCGCAGTAAAGGTTCTTTACTAAGGTGTTCTTAGTAAGGACTCTTCAGTACGAGCCCTGTAGTAAGGATTCGTCATTAAGGTACTCTTAGGAAGAACATTTGAGTGAGACTCCCACAGTCAGGATTCTGTATCAGGGTTGTCTCAGTAAGAATTTTTGAGTGAGACTCCCAAAGTAAGGATTATTTAGTCGGTTCTCTTCGTAAGAACTTTTGAATGAGGCTCCCTTAGTAAGGATTACGCCTCAAGGTTCTCTAAATAAGGACTCTAGAGTAGTAGCCCCGTAGTAAGGCTTGTTCACTAGGGTTCTCCAATTAAGGAGTCTTGAATAAGAGTCCCTTCGTAAGGATTCTTGACTGAGGTCTCCTAGTAAAGATTCTGTAGTAAGGGGCTCCTGACTAACATTCCTTTCTAGTCCGGATTTTTGAGAAAAAAGGTTCCTCCGGAGGGATTCTTGATTGTGGGTTTCGAAGATGCCGAGCTCGCGTGGTGACGATATGGCCTGGGAAATCTCGGGGCTTGCAGGCGACTTGGCCTCCTCGGTAGGATCTGGCATTCTAATCAATTCCAACTGGAGGCCTGCCCAGAAGCCGGTGCGATGCGATGCGGTGCTCCCCCCCCCCTTCCCCAGAGGGGGCGTCAGAAACCCGGCGTACCTCAAGTGGGGAGCGACAGGGAAGCTCGCCCCATTGGAAGTGGCTTAGTAAGCCGGCGTTCCCTTGTCGTTGTTGAGCTCTCACGGATGAAGAATGATTCTTGTTGATCCCCCCTCCAGTAACAAATGTGTTTTTCAATTGAAGTACCCTTCCCGGGGATCGCATTTTGTTTTTTATCACTTGCCTCCCCGGCTACAACTGCAACGGCTCCCGCCTGATTTTTCCTCACAATGTATTTCCAAATCGCGCTCTCGCGCGGGACTTCCCCACAATTGATTTAAAACAAATCGCACTCTCGCGAGGGACCTCCTCGCAATTTGTTCAGACGCCGCGCCCTCGACATTCAGAAGACACGCTCTCGCTGTGGATTCTCTCACGATTGATTTGGGAATCGAGCCGCCGCTCGAGATTTCCTCGCGATTCACTCAGGACGCACGCTTCAGCGACCCGCCTGGTCGACCTGGCTGCCTGGACCCTCCTTTCCGACCCGCATGGTAGGGTGTACCTGCCCGATCTGCCCGTCTGGTTCTGCCACGTGTTTTCTGTTCCTAGCCCCCCTCCTTCTAGTCTCTCTCGTGCTCCATCCTCCTTCCTCCCCCTTGCCCCTTCCTTCCACCCGTCCTCTCTTCACTGGTCTCAAGGGCTGCACGAAATACACGTTGCAGGTAAGAAAGATATACCCCCAAGGGGGTACGGTCGAAGACTGAGAGGGCGGGTATCGAGGGTTCGGGATCTACGTGCTGAGGGGCACGCGAACAGGCTTAAAAAGATTGTTGTTGTCGTCGTCGTCGTCGTCGTCGTCGTCGTCGTCGTCGTCGTCGTCGTCGTCGTCGTCGTCGTCGTCCTCGCCCGCGACCCCCCCCCCTCCCCCCCCACGACCCATCCGCGACCCACCCCGGGACCCACCGCGCGACCCACCCGCGACCCACCCCGCGCCCGCCCCCTTCCCACCCGTACCCGAAGATGCGGGGTGCGACGTGCTGTGTCAATCTGCGGCCCCAGAGCTCCCGACCGCCTCCCCGGGGCCAGTTTTTCGCCACGGATCCGGCTCCAATGGTCCCGGGGTCCGAAAGCGGCCCCCGAGGGCAGAAATCGAGGGAAAACGCTTTGACACTCGCCCAGCAGAAGCAGTACCAGAGAACATCATCATCATCATCATCATCATCATCATCATCATCATCATCATCATCATCATCATCATCATCATCATCATCATCAGCAGCAGCAGCAGCAGCAGCAGCAGCAGCAGCATCAGCATCAGCATCAGCAGCATCAGCATCAGCATCAGCATCAGCATCAGCATCAGCATCAGCAGCAGCAGCATCAGCATCAGCATCAGCATCAGCATCAGCGGCAGCATCATATTATCGAAAACCGGGGTTGGATTTCCAGACGTTCGGCCGTTCGGGACGATCCGGGCGCCCCTGGACCGTTCTCTGCGAGGCGCAGTTGCTGGAAAGCACCACGAGGCCGACGAAAACGTCCGACAAGTTGGAGCCTCGAGACCTTGAGGACGGCTCCCTGGACGCGCGCGCGGCAGCCCTGGGCGCGCTGGCGGCCCTCTGCGAGCCCGAGGTGCCTTGGGCACGGCAAGGAATCATAGCCGCAACTGTATGGATTTCTCGGGAGGGCCCCACGGGGAGGAGCCCACCGACCTCGACGTGAACACCGTGGCGGCTGTGGTTGTGGTCGATGTGGCCGTCCTGGGGCGCCACATCGACAACAATCAGCACTGAGCTGGCTTCGGTGTTCTGACGACTGTTGGCATGCGCAGGACGTCCCCCAGGGCATGTCCTCGATGTGGCTGTGGTCCCCAGGTAGCGAAAACTGCACGTTCACGGGCGGGAAACGGGGCCCATGCCCCGATTGGCGATGAGTGGGCGCTTGGGGGTTGAGGCTTTGCCCCCTGCCCAGACCCCCGACGTCATGATTTTGTTCACAACGTCGACCCCCAAAGGTCTCGACCCCATCCCCCAGGACCGTATCTTTTGACCGTCCCAGGGCCAGGCGAGGGCCCCGAGAGACAGAACATAGCGGCAACTACAACAACGTCCGTCGCTCGCTCTCCCCGCAGAGGTGCTCACGCTGGCGCGCAAGCTGCCCGCGGTGAGGCGCACGTGAGCGGCCTCGTCTCCAACGTAGCGTGCCGCGTCGGCGGCCTCACCGCGCACGGTCGTACGCTTTTGGCGCGCCCTCTCGCGGCAGACCCGTTCGTGCTTCGTCGCTCGTGTTGGCTGAGGTTCCCCGCTGTCCCCGCGGAGGCTCCGAGGCGGGAGTTCATACATGAGACCACCGCCTGGAGGGTCAGTTTTCGGAGCCTCGGCAGGCGGTGGATATGGACACATCCGGGCCCCCGGGGGCCGAAATATATCCATATCCACCGCCTCCTCCTCCTCCTCCTCCTCCTCCTCCTCCTCCTCCTCCTCCTCCTCCCCCTTCCCCCCCATCCCCTTTCCCCCCCAGGGCTGCCCCCGACGTGGGCCGCCATCAGCGCCGAGTGTTGCACATGCCGCTGCGCGGGGAGAGTCGGACATCCATATCCGCATCCGCCCCCCGGACGTCGCTTCCCAGGCCGTGGATCTGGAGACAGCCCCGCCTCGCAGAGGTGCCCTGGGCCCACTTCGCGGGCGCCGCCGTGCCCGCCGCCCTGGCGGCGGCGGCGGCAAGCCGCGCGGCGGGCGCCGCGCGCGCGACGCTGGCGGTCGTGGGCGCCGCGGGCGCCGCTGGCGGCGAGGCGGCGCGCCGCGACTCCGAGGGCCGCAGGGCGCTCGACGACCTCGCGGCGCAGGTGAGCGGCGCCAGCAAAGGCAGGTGCGATTGCGCGGACATTCGCACGTAAGCTGTCAGAGGTTGATAGACCTCCTACCCTGACACGTCGATTAGCGAATTGGCCGTTTTCGGTTCGTGAGAGGGCGTCGCGGCCGTCATTTTGGCGGGCCCAGGTCCGTTGGTTTCGGTCCCAGGCCGTTTTCACTAAATGGTGGTTTGCTGAAGGGAGGTTTGTCCACCGCCGAGGGAGGGGGGGAGGCTTGGTAGAAGCAGCATCCTTCTAAGAAGCCTTCCCCCTACCCCTAATTACCCTCTTGTGCGCGGCGCCAAGCTGCCCGCGCAAGGTCGCGCGTATTTAAGCGCCCTCGCTTCCAGTGTAGCGTTCCGCGCTGGCGGCCCGCGTAAGCCACCTCGCGCGACCGCGCAATGTCGCCATGCCATCTCGCGCAAGACCCACTTCTGTTCGTCGCTCAGGTGTCCTGCAGCATCGCCGCTGCCGCCTCTTACGGGGGGCAGCAGCCTGTGCACCAGCACCTGGCCCTGTGTCAAACAACAACCGCGACGGAGGGTCTTAGGTTTCGGCCTCTCGGGGCCCTCGCCGGGTCCCCAGACCGTCACAGAAAGATCCATGAGGAAAAACCGGTCCCGGGGAATGGGTCGAGATTTTTAGGGGTCGACGTTGCGAGAAAATCACGTCGGGCCCGCGGGCTAATGCTCTGGGGCCACCCTCCAGGGGGCGCCGTGGGGAAGATCGCTCCGCATCGTCGATGCATCGTCGATGCAGCTCGACGTGGAGCCCTATTTCCTCCACGCCGATGTCGCCGATGCATCGCATGCATCGCCGATGCATCGGCGATGCGGCGCGATCCTCCGACCCCATCGGCCCGGACCCCATCTAGGAGGCCTCTGTGCAAGACACGGCGCACCGCGATGCGCGCGGTGCGCGCAGTCTTGTGTTGCCTAAGTCCTGGGCCCAGGATGGGCGGATGCACCACCATTTGGGCCCAGGAACAGATTAGGGGTAACGATAGGGGGGGATAGGCATAGGGGGAATGCATCGACCTCAAATCGCCCACTGATCGCCGATGGGGGCCCGATAGCCCCAACCTGCCCAGGAAGGTGCGGATTCACGATCGGAGGCCTATCGCCGATCTATCGGCAGGTCGATGCGTGCTCCCTATGCCAATCCCCCCCCTATCGTTACCCCTCAACAGACTAATGTCTGGATTTGTTGGTTTAACGAGAGCCCCGGATCTCTTGACCACTTGCGGGGGTTAGTTTTTTCGGGAGCGTCCAAGAGGGGGGAATGACCAGGGGGTGGATAGCATTGCGGGGGCCATGCTATCTCCCCAGATTTCACGGCCCCTCTTCTTTCAATGCAGTCAAGACGCTGATATAAGGAACGGCCCTTCTCGTGCACGCAGGCGCTTTGGGGACCAAAAGGGGGCTTCGTTCCTTACTTGTCGTTCCTTATTGTAATGGCCTCCGGCCAGTGCCGCCGATCCGGGGCGCTCCCGATGCGTGTGGGAACGGACGATGACGACGACGACGACGACGACGACGACGACGACGACGACGACGACGACGACGACGACGACGACGACGACGACGACGACGACGACGACCGACGACCGGGTCAACGACGGACGATGATGACGACGACGTCCCTCCTCCCCCCGCTGCCCTCCCCGGTTTCTTGGACCCCCCCCCCGCTTGAGCTCGACCCCCCCCTCCGTCCCCGCTCGAGCTTCCTCCTTGGACCCCCCCCCCGCTTGAGCTCGACCCCTCCCCCCCCGTCCTCGCTCGAGCTCCCCCCCCCCCTCGATTCTTGGACCCCCCCCCCGCGCTGATCCCCCCCCCCGCTTGAGCTCGACCCCCCCCTCCGTTCGACCCCCCCCCGTTCTCGCTTGAGCCCCCCCCCCCCTCGATTCTTGGATCCCCCCCTCCGCGCTGACGCGCTGACACCCCCCCCCCCCCCCGCTTGAGCTCGACCCCCCCCTCCGTTTGACACCCCCCCCGTCCTCGCTTGAGCTCCCCCCCCCCCTCGATTATTGGACCCCTCCCCCGCGCTGACCCCCCCGCCCGCTTGAGCTCGACCCCCCCTCCGTCCCCGCTCGAGCTTCCTCCTTGGACCCCCCCCCGCTTGAGCTCGACCCCCCCCCCCCGTCGCTCGAGCTCGAGCCCCCCTCGATTCTTGGACCCGCTTCCTCCTTAGACCCCCCCCCCGCTTGAGCTCGAACCCCCCCTCCTCGCTCGAGCTCCCCCCCCCCCCCCCCTCGATTCTGGGACCCCCCCCCCGCGCTGGAGCGTTCACTGAATTGCGTGGATAATTCGCCGGATCCCCCCCCCCAGAGCGAAGCTTGAGCGAGCTCGAGCCCACGCTCTCAGAAGCTCACACGCGGGATCGGCGGACGCAGGCGCTTTGGGGACCAAAAGGGGGCTTCGTTCCTTACTTGTCGTTCCTTATTTCCGCAGCCCGACTGTACTTCTCCTGGTCCCCCTCATCCGCGCACATGCCTCGGGTTATGACTTGCGAGCCCCTCTCTTGGACGCCTCCCTCTTGAGGACGCCCCCGACTTAACGTCCCGAGTCGTTTGTTTTTCCCACGGTGCCAGGGGCCTGGCGAGGGCCCCCAGGCGCGAAAAGCGATGCCACGTATTAGTTTCTCTAATCTAAAGAGCATTGGAGGTAATTATGGGGATGCCCTGAGATCCGACGCTGAAAACAGTGCAACACAGCAACAAAAACACGACTGGAGCCCCAGACCCCAACTTTCTGCGTGATTTTTGTGCCGGATTGGTTGGTGAGGTCTTTTGGGCCCGAAGCCGAGCGAAAACGCTCGGCGTGACACAATTGGAGCTCCAGGATCTCTGGATGGGCCTGGCCTCGGCGTTACCCCAACATACTAGTACTATGTGGGTGTCGCCCCCGAAGGGGCGACACGCGCACCGAGAAATCTCATAGTATACGTTCCGTGGCGGCGTTTTCTGGCCATGTCGCTCGGGAAACGACGTACTACAAGATGGTTGCACTATATGTTCGGGTCCGACGCACGCCTCCAAGGAGGACCCGTAGCACTAGTATGTCGTTATGCGTCCCACGGCCAGATCGATGACACGCAAGGAGTGACCCTTCGCCGGGGTGACCTTAGTGCGGGATCGTCGGTGCCCCCGCGATCGCTGAGCGCGATGCGATGGTGGGTGGCTGCTTGCGAGCTTGGATTTGGCCACCTTGCGCCCCCTTAGTCTTGGAAGCGCCCTTACGTGTGCGTTTTTTCTTCGGCGAGGACCGTCGAGGAGCATCGTGGTTCATAGTACGCAAAAACAAACGCACGACATCGAAAGGTGCACCGTGAATGGACGTCCGAGCGATGGCGAGTAGTCCGCGCACCACAGGTCATTCTTGCCCAGGACCACCTCCTGCGTTTAGCCGACTCCAGGAGCTCATCGGCTGCGAGCGAGGGGGGGAAGCGAAAAGGAGAAGGCCTCCTCGGAAGGCGGCGGGACTTCTCAGAAGCCCTCGCGCCTTCTACGACGCTTTCTGTGTCTCAGAAGGCCGCAGGACTTCCGAGCCTTCCAAGAAGGCCCTCCTCACCTTTCCCTTCCCCCTCGGGGGCAACGATAGGTGGGGATGGGCATAGGGGGGACGCATCGACCACGAATCGCCCATTGATCGCCGATGGGGGCCCGACAGTCCCAACCTGCCCAGGAGCCTGCGGATTCACTATCGGGGGCCTATCGCCGATCTATCGGCGATGTATCGCCGACTCCCGGTCGAGAAATCCTCCTCCTCCTCCCTCCTCCTCCTCCCTCCCCCTCCTCCCTCCTCCTCCTCCTCCTCCTCCTCCCCTCCTCCTCCTCCTCCTCCTCTCCTCCTCCTCCTCCTCCTCCTCCTCCTCCTCCTCCTCCTCCTCCTCCTCCTCCTCACCGCCACCTCCCCTCGCTCGCCGCCGCGTGCAGCCGGCTCCAGGAGCCCAGGCTGGGCCTAGCCAGGCTCGCGATGCCGGTGCGCAGCGCTGGCGCCCTCCCCGCCTCTGCGCCGGAGCGCTCGCCGGCGCCGGCGGCCGAGCCCCTCGCGGAGGCCCGCGCGCCGGCGGGGCGAGGCGCCGCCGCCGAGGGCCTGGTGGGCGAGGGCGCCGGCGCCGGCCTCGGCGAGGATCCGCAGAGGGCAGCTGTCCGCCCCGAAGCAGAAGTCTTTGGGGGGCCTCGGCCTTTGGAGGCCCTCGCCAGAGCCTCAGACCGTCGTAGAGCGACCCTCCTCCTCCTCCTCCGCCTCCTCCTCCGAGGAGGAGGAGGAGGCGGAGGAGGAGGAGGAGGAGGGGGAAACCGGTCCCGGGGAGTATGTGGTCGAGGCCTTTGAGGGTCGACGTTGTGAAAGCGTCACGCCAGGCCTGCGGGCTGGCCTCGGCGGGGATCCGCAGAGTGATGCGCCGATCTTCCACCACCACTGCCATAGGTAGGGGTGAGAGGGGGACTTCTGGGGCCGACTTGGAGGCATCTTGGACCCTCCTGGGCCGTCGTGGAGGCCATCTTGGACCATATTAGGCGAACTTGGAGGCCATCTCGGGCCATCTGAGTCTTCTTGGAGGCCGTCTACGACCATCTTGGAGCGGGAAAGGCATTGACCCGAAGATTATATTGTGGACGTTGAGGTCGTTTCCAGGCCTTGTGCTCCCTTCCGGTTGGCCAGCGGGCTGGACCGGAGCCCCAGGGAGAGTTCTTTTGGAAAAGAACCAAACCAAAAACGGTAGCGTCTAGCACGCTGGGCACCCCTGTGAGAAGCACAGGGGGCGGCGGATCGAAGACGCCTACGGCGAATCACCGCCGCCCCCTGCCTTTTTGGAAGCGCCTATGTGGCCAAACGTTGAGGCCAGACCTGCCAAACTATCGGACCATGTGTTCCCCGAATGGGTTTGGCACAAAGCCTTCGGGG